ACCAATGTTCCTCCTACACAAAAGGGAATACCGTGAGTCACACGGTCTTAGTTCATTGTTATCCTTTAAATGTTAACTTAAGAAATTTGAAAAATATATTGCAGTTCGAAAGGTGGAAGAAAACCTTTAAGCTATTGTGTAACATTGAGCAAACAAGACCATCGAGCACGTGGGAGTTTTTTTACACTAAACAACTTGTTCAGACTTGTCTGGAAGGTGCGTGTAGTATTCTTGTAGTAAGTGAAGGTAAAATTTAATGGGGTTAAATTATTTCTTGCAATTTATTACAAACAAGATGTAGCTACAGTTATTGAGTGAATCATTATAATTTCTTCATTATTAATTGCATGGTCAATTTAATGCTTTTAAAAGCATTACTTTTTAATGTACCTTTGACATAGTCTTTTCTTAAATGTCACCGACGGGTAGTTAAGTGAACTTAATGATAGTAAAATAGCTAAAAGTTTCAGTGGAATATATCTAATTATTCAGTTTAAAATGTTTCTTGATCTTAGAAGCATAATTATTTATTAGCATATCTCAGAAATTGTAAATAAAAACATTAACAACAAGTGATAGGATTTTAAAGTTACGAGTGGGAATTAAATCGGCTGTAAATTACCACAGAAAGAATACCATTGACATTGTTGAAAACATGAAGCAATTAACTGCAGATATTAAAAACTCTCCTTACCACACATTTAGAAATCATTCAAACGTTGCACAATATTTTTGTAAAAGAGAACAAAACGAAGAGATTGTGTGACAGAAATGGAAGAATGCGGACTAATGGATGACATTGTATCTGCTGGTAATAGGCTGGTTCAAAACAGCCACGGATTATTATTATTCGTTTGAAAATTACGCAAAAAAGACTGTTAATAACATGTTATTTTCATCTTTTTACGGATCAGTCGCTACAAAATGGGGACAAGAACATGAATCTATTTCGATAGAAGAATTTAAAAACATCATACTTGGGAGCAAGTCCAGACGGCATTATTAATAATAATGAAATAATTGTAATTAAATGTTTATATTCTTGTTCCAAATTGACACCAGAAATGGGAATAAAAAAAAATTAAACATCTAGCCAATACAGATGGACAAATTAAATTAAAAAAAATAGTATATTATTCAATAAGTATAGTCCATTATACACGAATTGAATACTATACTTTATCTACAACTGAATACGGGGGCTCACCTTTCAAATGAGGAGTATTTAAGCCACCGTGTGAAATAAAACGCCAATTATACAGAAACTCGTTTAAAGTTATTTATTGATGTAATTAATAGTAACATTACAATTTGAAATATTAATAGCTCCGGTAATATCATTGAGATTATTGTTTTTTAAAGAAAAATTAGTGTTGCTATTGATGAGTACAGAATCATGACGATCACTGTCAGAAGATGATGAATTATTAAGACCAACACAATTTTCATTATTGATTTGACTTAAAATTGCTTGAGCTGTTTCTATTTTGTTCTTTTTTGAATTGGCGATGTACCCTTCTGCTGTGGAGGCGGATTTCCAGCCTCCATGACGTTCTAATGTTGTCATTGAAGCTCCAGAATCAGCAACCAATGTTGCAGATGAACGCCTGAGGCAATGGCCAGTATATCTCTCAGGGTTTGGTAATTGTAAAAACGTAGCAATTTACTTTCCCATTGCGCTAAACTTGTTTATTCCTATCACTTGTTTTGTACACTTTCCTTTTTGGAAATTGAGAAAAAAATCTTCAGGTGCATTTTCGGGCCGGGGGTCTATATATTTTTTAACGATTTTGAAAAAATTATCCACAATTGTGAAATTTCTTGGAACTTTGGTTTTTGTGTGTGGCACGTTTACTTGAAAACATCCCTCAAAACATCTTAAATTACCAATTTTCATATTCTTTAATTCACAGGATCGGCATGCACCCATAACCCCCATAATCAAGGCAACCTTAAAAAATGTGTAGATTAAGTTAAAGAATTTTGATTTTCGATTCGAGTTTTTACCTTTGTTCCAAGATATTTAAAATCTGGGGCTTCCTTTACAAACCTCTCAATTTGTTCACCAGTCAGAGCTTCAGATTTCTTAGGTTCGTAATTTTCGGATCGCCTTTTCAACAAAGCACGTAATCTCGGATATTTATCAATGTCGACATTGTGCTTGATGTTTAACATGCTTTTTAGCATAGAATAGTTTGTCCATAAAGTAGACGATTTGTATTTACTAGAAATTTCCATAAAATATACAAGCACAGTGTCTTCGGAAAAAGAGGATACATTTTTTGTTTGTTTCCACGACATAAATTTTTTGTATGCAATCTCATAATTTTTCCTCGATATTTCAGGTAATAATTCCAACGACGCCACTTTAGCAGCGTCGCGGATTACAGGAGGTGTTAGTTCCATGTAATCATCGTATTCCATTTTTTTAATGGATAAACACTTAAAACGGGCTCAATATTTTAAGTTTAATTTCAAAAAAGAATCGGGAACAACGAATAATTATCAACATGCTGTCAACTAACTTGTCAAACGCATACTATATCTAATGATTTTTAATTCTAGTGGGGTATAATTGACAAAAATCGTGTAATATGAATGTATTCTCACTAGTGATATATGGATTGCTTTATGTTGCGTTAGATACGCATATAATACATCCATATAATACATCCATATAATGACAGTTGTAGATAAAGATATTTATAAAAAGTCACATAAAACATGACAGCAATAATATTGTTTGCCTTGAAAATTACAATCCCGATTCATTGTGAACCTAGCTTTTAAACCGGAATTATTATTTTTACCTATTTTTTAAACTATATGTGTCTGTGAAAGGAAGAACGATGGCATTGGTAAGATTTGCCACAGATAGCCAGATAGAGATGCCGCGAGACGAGAGATTCTCGTCTCGTCCCGACGCGCACGCGCAGCTAAATTACCCGACCACCGAACGCCCTCTCACCATTTTCTGTGTCGATTTTGTCAAACATTACTAAATAAATCGCAAAGAAGCCATTTAAATTAATAAAAAAAAATGTAAATGTTGTTAAATCAAGGATGTCGGGAAAAAATTGAATTTCATCCAAATGTTTTTTAGATTTTTTTCCGGCAGCGTCGGCAATTTTGTTCCATCATCTTGTTTTTTCCATCCTTAATATAGACAGAAAATTAAAAATTAAAAAATGGTCAGCAAAAAAATCATTAATAAAATTTTTTGAATAAAATGAATTAAAATTAATTAAATTTTAATAAAAAAATAATGTTGCAATTATGTAATAATAACAAATACACCACTAATATTTAAAAGGGGTATAAAACGAAACTCAATGTGTTTTTGTTCATAAGTTACTGAATTTTAAATAAAATCGTTTGGGTTAAAACATCTCATGATGAATTCGCAAATGAATAAATTTATTTAAAATTAACTTTACAACGTCTAAACAATGATTATAATTAGGAAAAATGATTTTCAAATATGTCAAATATTTAAAAGGCTAAAAGTCTTGACTTTGAAATTAAAATAGTGGGGTTAACTAAATACTGGATGGATTAATTTTTTGATGGATAATTAATCGTCTGGGCATTATTCGTCTGTTTTACCAATATTTATGATACAAGTGTAAATTAAAAATTTAAAAAAAGCGACTTCAAAAACGTGCAGATGCCATCACAACATCTTAACCAAATTTATATGGGATCACCCCTGAGGTACCCCCTTTCTAACAAAAAAAGAAAAAAAGAATCATATAAATCGGACAAGGTAGTAAAGCATTATCGCTAAACATACATAAAAAATTAAGAGTTTGAGGATTTTCTCATGGACCCAATTTTTAGATTTTGACTAAATTTATATGGGACCACCCCTGAAGTAGCCCCTTTCTAAAAAAAAAAGAATTATTGAAATTGGACACCGTGTTGTTAAAGAATTATCGCTGAACATACATTAAAAAAAAAAAAAAAAATCGGGACGAATTGATAACCTCCTCCTTTTTTGAAGTCGGTTAAAAATAGGAAACATTTATTAGTGAACCATAATTTTTTAAGGTAAAGCCCAAGTTACATTTTTAGATTTATCAAAATATACAAGGTAACCATAAAATCCTTTTTTAAAACACTGATAAAACTTTTGAATCCGTGAGATAGCCTTAGGACTGCTATAAATCTGCTTTAAGAGTAAAAGGCACTATTTTTAAAACAATATCTTATAACTAATTAGACCTAAGACAAAGTCAGTAAGAGTATATTAAGAATTTTATTAAACCATTTTTAAATATTTTTTAAGATTATGATAAAGTGGGTTAAGCCTAAAAACTTTACAAAACTAATCAGTTTTAAGAGAAATAAATTTTAAAATGTTTTAGCTTTATTTTGTTTTATCATACTATCTGACAAAATGAATTTGCAAATATGTTGGGAAGACTGCCATATTAGAAATTAATTATTATATAGTGTATGTTTAATTTGCTTAGTTACACTTGTTATTTCTTCAATTTTCAAACACACACTATCTGCCCTGTTAAGCATAAAAGTCGTATCTACATTTTTTACACTTTTCAGGTTTTTGCTTGGTCACAATCACAAACATTTTTTCTTATACTATTAGAGCCAGAAGTCGAATCTGCTTTTAGTATAGCTTAGTGTGTATGAAATAGGAAAGTCGTATCTGCAAAATAGGACGAATTGTTAAGCATTAATGTCGAATCTACACTTGTTAGCACCAAACGTCGTAACTGACGGAATTAAATGCAGATACGACTTTTCCACTTAACACATAGAATAACATAACCTCAATTTTTAAAACGTTAACCTTACATTTTTATTGTTGTGTCCGTTGAGTGTTGTTGTTTCTGGTGAACTTACGTTATTTTTTGCTGTTATTGAAAAATTCGAATTATATCAATAGATTGCCTTTAATTTATAGATAAATTTCAACAATAATTGTTATAATTACAGCCAGGATGAACAAGAATAGTAGAAGTTTTAAAATGTTGACGATGGTTTCCTTGAATCGTCAACAAAGTAAGAAAATCTCAAATCTCAAACAAAATTACAACAAGAAACGCTTCAAAAAAGAAGACGATGCTGATTATATGCCATCTGAAGCCTCTGATGAAGATTCTCTAGAGGAAACAATAAATAATGATACGAAAGGTAATATTAATTTAACAGATATGGAAGTCATGGACAATTCATGCTGTGTCAGAGCAAACTAATTTAGTCGAGGATGTGAATATAACTGAAAGTCTTGATGCTGAAAATTCAACAAACCAGGCTAAGAAAAAATAAACATAATTTTCAATATTATTGTGAAAAATGCAGAAGGTTCTTCATCTAATGACAATTATTCAGACATAGACAATATCATAGCTAATGAGAGAGATGTTACAATGTTCATATACGACATTTCAACTGGCATTTTGACTAATGTTGTGCAAATGTCTAATTTAAAAACATACACTAAAAACGGAGAAGTAAGAAAGAGGAAGAGATATGATACAAGTGTATCAGAAAGGAAACGTATTAAACTGGAAAAGAAAGTAAAGTGCCACAGTTTAAAGCAAAAGTGCACTAAAATGTGTAAAATAAAATGTATTAACAAGATAAGTGAAAGAAGAAGAATTGATATAAATATCTAAGGAATTTTGAAAAATACAGCCTGCGGAACAAAGAAATTTCGTGATAAATAATCTATCTCAAAATGCTGTGAAAAGACGAACGACTGGTGATCTAAGCGGATCTAGAAGATCTAAGACTGTTGTTTACTTTCTCAAAGACGAAGATGGGGCAAAACAAAATGTGTGCAAAGCATTTTTCATAGAAACACTTGGAAATAAAACAAAAAACGACCGATTTGTTAGGGATGTATTGAACAAGTCAAAAAATGCTGGCCTTACTCCGAACCCAAACAAACGAGGTAAAAAGGAGAAGGTGAAAATTGACAGGGATATAATTATAAACCATATCGAGTCATTCCAGCTGACTAACGCACATTATAGAAGGGAGCATGCCCCCAAGAGAAGATACTTACCGAGTGGTATTACCATTCACCAAATGCATGACAATTTTAAGACTAAACATTCACACATCCAGTGTTCACACTATCTGTACAGAGAAGTAGTAAGTAGCCTTAACATTGCTTTTGTGAAGCTGGGCCATGAGGAATGTTGGACCTGCGAACTTTTCAATGTACATAAAAAACAAGTAATCATTTGAAAGGATAAGGATTGTGCGGAATGTATTAAATTCAAAGATCACCTACTGAAATACACACAAGCTCGGAAAGAGATGCAACTACTCCTGGAATCTCAGATTTAGTCGTCTCCGCTGACTTCAAAAGGTAAAGCTTTTTATGACTGCTACAAATAATTGTGCTTTTTTAACAATTTACTTTCAGGTCATCATGCTTCCGAGAATTGAGATGTTCAAAGAAGCAATTTTTACACCGCGTATCATCGCTTTTAATGAGAGTTTTGTACCAGTTGGGAAAAAGCAGTCAGGCCCAACAGCAGTTCTTTGGCATGAAGCTGTAAGTGGACGTTCCAAGGAAGACCAGATAAGTACATTTTATGCTTTTCTCCTCTCCGCACGAGACAAAAAGAACATTGTGTTGTGGCTTGATAACTGCTTCTCGCAAAATGAAAATTGGAGTTTATTCACATTTTTTATTTACATTGTGAATTCTAACGAAGTTTTGCTAGATAAACTCGTAGTAAAATACTTTGAGCCGGGCCACACGTTCATGTCTGCAGATTCATTTCACCACAATGTTGAAAAATCCTTTGAAACGAGCTGGAAAGGTTTATGACTTCCAGGATTTTGTATCGGCTGTCAGATGCGCAACAAAAAATGTAAATATAATTGAAACGCAAACAAACGATTTCTTTGAGTGGAAAGATGGTACCTCACAATACAAGTTAAGTAAAATTTCCCCGCGGCCATATTTAAAAACTATGGTTAAAGTGAGTTTCTATAGAAAACAGAAAACCTTAATTTATAAATCATCTTTCACTGAAGAAGACAGAGAGTCGAATTTTTTGAATACGTAATTAACAAAACAGGGTATTTCAAAACCAGGCTCAAAGCAGTGCCCTCGAGGAATAACTAAAGAGAGAAAAGCCCAAATTTTAAATAAACTTTGCCCAATTATGCCTCAGAACAGAAAAGAGTTTTGGGAAAATTTACCTACATGTTCCGGAACTGCAACACCGAAATGCATGGAGTAACAAGCTTTTCTTATATTTTTCGTATCTACTTAAATAATATGTTTTAAATAAAGAATTTAAACCAATTTGTGTAGATACGTCTTTTCGTATTCATTTTCTTAATGATAATATTAGGCTAAAATGTCGTATCTTTCAAAAGTCACCTTTGTTTCTGTAACAAATTTCCGAAATTTTGAACAGATAACTTAAATCGGTTTTGCAAAAAACAAAATGCTGAAAAAATCGGAAACTTATGACATTTGCAATTTTACTAATTGCGCAGTTTCTCAACATTTTGGTTTTGTCAGATACGACTTATATGTTTAACAGGGCAGCCATGGTACTGTTAAAAGTGGGCAAGATGGGCCGTACTAAATGATGGGCCTTACAATATATGAAATATACGTAAACAAGGATTATTATACGGATTCTAATCTATTTACCGAAAGTTTTTTATTAGAAAATAACATTGTAAATATCGTATATATAAAATGATTACATTTTGTCTTCGATATGTTTTTCAAATAAAATATCACATTTTGTATTTTTCAAATTATTTCATGGAAATGACTATTTAACCGCCAACAGTGGCAGCTTGTGGGGTGGTTCACAGTGACAGAATATAGGTATCAGAACAGATGTATGAAAAAACTTTCAGTGTTTTAGAAAGTTTATTATATACATTTCTAAAACACTGATAGTTTTTTTACCTATATCTGTACCAGGATCTATATTCTGCTACTGTGAACCTCCAAAATTTTGGTCACGAGCCGCCCCTGACCGCTAATATAAATCCTATTGTAGATTTGTCTTTGCATGGATACTTGGCATCGTCAGAAAACCATTTTCATTTGCGCATACTACGCAAGAGTTGTATAACATATCATAGTATATTTCAATATAAATTACATTAATATACCCTAAAAGAAATTAGCTGTAGATATATTTGACAAATTTGACATTAGGTGGTTAGATGCAATCATAAATATTAAATCTACTGCCATTGGCACACTGTTGTCATTGACACACTGTTGTCATTGACACACTATCACTGTCTTTGGTACACAAAATACGTCATTACTAACATTGAAACATTTTAGAATTATTTGAACTTTGACCATAATTTATTTGAATATCTTTAAGGTACAGGTTTGGTAGACAGGTACTATTTTACATAATATGTGGTTAAACAGCCACTGCCATATTTAAAATGAAGTATTTTCTCATTGTGTTCTATCTGTACCTAAAAACAGACATTAGCTTATAAAACCAATAAAGCAAAAAAAATACTTGTTAGGACTTTCCAGTTTTAAAAAGCTCCTGCTACGCTTTTTAAAGCATTTCATTGAACAATAGTAAAAACGAAAACCCGAATAAAACATTCATAAGTTTAATCAGACGGGCATAACCTAACCTCACTCTTCAACTTCTTATTTACTCTACGAACAAGTCATTCAAAATATAAAAATTAGTAATAATATATTAACCATTTTTCTCTTTTACTGATCATTTCTAGAATATTAGGAGCCTAGGAATGTTTTGATATTTGTTAAACAATGGAACACAATGAACTTATTAAACACTGAGGAGAAGGAGAAACATACATTTTCTTTTTTCATTTTCTATGGAAATTACCACTTTTCTTGAATTTGAACAATTTATCTTTAAAACGTCAACATAATGTGATTGAGTAGAAAAGCTAGGTTATGCTCTAAAAAAAACTTTAGTTCTTATTAAAACTATGTAGTTTACTAGATTTAATAAATTGTAAGAGTTATTCTGTAAAATTGTAGAAAATGTGCCTAAAAGGTTCTGGGATCAATTTAATTTAAAGTATAATCTTAAAACACTTTTTAAAACAAAGTTTTAAAACCTACTTAAGATAACTGCTAAAAATTATGCCTCTTTAACACCAAACACACCTTAGGAGTATCTTCAAACTAAATAGTTCTAAAATTACTTATTAATTAACCCTTACAGGACAGCGATAAAGCATAGTTTTATGATAAACTAGTTTTCTTAAACAGATTTAATTAAAGGAATCTATAAAACCAAGTAATAAGATCAATTTATCCTGCAGTCCTATTAGCAAAAAAATGTAATAAAATAATTATTAATTTTAATGCTTTTATAAAACCCTAATAAAACATAAATAAAACTTTATTATCTTAAAAATGTTACTTGGGAGTTGTGACAAAGACATATGTAATGGGATATGTCACAAAATATAAAGTTGGTGTAAGAATAAATCAGATAATTTTATTTTGACAATATCGAAACAGAATTTTAAATACGCAGTTAAACCCTAATATCTTAAAAAATATATTTTTTGTGTTATTATGAAGCTCTTGAAAATATGTAGTACCTACAGAAAATTTATGCCTGCACAGTGGAACTATTTCTGATCTAAGTAATTTAAATTTGGCACATTATTCTATTTTAGCTATCAGTTTAAATATTTACTCATAATATCTACTTTTTCAATTATTTTGGAATGAATATATAATTTTTCCACATACATACGCACATTTTTGAAATATCTAATGCTAAACGTATAAAGCAAACAAATCAAAAAATATTAGCCGGCAGTGGGATTGAATAAATTTGATCTTCTATAGAAAAATTTACTCAAAAAGTTGTTTTCGGGTTGAGGAATTTTTACCTGTATATTTTTGGCACAATAGCTATTTTTGTGCAAAATTTGATACTGTACCGTTTACGGTATGCGAACCTCTTTGGAATAACAATCCTTTTTGAAAGGATTTCAGGAAGGGATCCTTAAAGAAATGTTCAGATTTGAGGAAATTTTTGAGAAGTAGACTGTATTGTGCGAAGATGAATTGAAGCGTGTTTATATGAAAGGAAAAATATTTTGTGTTAATAGCAGCAAAGGTGCAAAGTTGGTTAAAAAATGTGATTTGGGGGTTCCAAGGTAGCCAAACGAATTAGTTACCTATATTTTATATTTAGATGTAACTTTATGTGGTATTATACATTTTACATTGTCACAATATTTAAAAAATATATAGTTTTGTATATTTTGATTTGAATTAAAACATCAACGGCGACTCCAGAGTGCATGGGGAGTCATTAATACGACAAATTGCCGCACTTCGCGGGCGCAACAACTTTTTATCTCAAGCACAAAGTAGCACTTTCCGCTCTTAATATACAATAGCTATTTGTGTATTAGGAGCGAAAAGTGATACTTTGCCGTTTGAGACAGAAAGTTGCCCGCGCGACGCGTAGCGGAGAGCGGCAATCTGTCGAAAGCGGCAACGAATTTTTCGCTCATAATGCACACAAGATTTTTTCTATGATCACACTTTTTTAAGCAATAGATATAAAAACTGAAAATTTGTCGTAAGTAGTGTAAGAGAGAGGGTGGATGATTCGGCCATCAGCAATATAATTTTACTATTTCAAATTTTCTGCAAAATATTAATGATTTTGAATGCCTTCATGCTTGTTTTTAGTATTGAGCCGCATGGACAGCGTCTCACAAGTGTTTGTTTGTGATGATACATTTTTTAATGTTTTAAGAGAAAATAAGAAGAGTTTTGCAATTTACAAATTTAAGAAACTCCTGTGAATAGCCAATTTGTAAAAATATTTCACTTAGTGCTCGTATTTAGTGGCATATAAAGAGCTTTGTTTCATAAATAATCTAACCTTCAATATAAATACTAACTGGCCCACGTGATATATTTGTGAATTTGGATTAATGGTGATGCTTCGGCCCCAAGGCAGGTGGAGGTTTTGGCCACGGCCGAAATCATTCCCGTATCTAGTATGAGTATTATTTAAACAATCTTCTGTTTGATTTTTATAGATGCCTCGAAAGTATAAACTGACAGAGAAGTTGTTGAAATGATGGTAAAAAATGCAATACGCTCCTATTTCACAAGATGTTTTGTATTCAGAAATTATTTTTCTCCATCGGCGACTAAGGCTAAATAGACCCGTTGTGCCATTGTTGGTTCTAATGCCGGGTCCAGACCGATCAGACAAAAAGTGAACACGTTTTTGAGACAAAAACACGACAAAATTTCAAAAAAAATTTAGTTATTGAGACAAGACAAAATTGAGACAAACTGTCCACACCACAAAGACAAATAATGTGCAACAAAATTCAGTTGGTTTGAAGGTGGTTCAAAATTCAGTTGGCTGTGAATCAGTTGTTGTACCATGTGGCGTTTCCACCAAGAAGATAATTTAAAAAAATCAAAATTTATTGCTAGCAGCCATTTGTTATATCTTTCTGTCCTTTTCATCCAATGGTGGAAAGATTAAACGCAAACGTTTTTGGATGAGACCAAGCTTAAAAAAGCGAGAACGATTTTCCATGAATAAATTGCTAGTTCAGTTATGTGAAGACGACATTGGACTAAGTGGTGAAATTCGCATAAGCTTTAAGAACTTTCTAAGAATGTCCACCAAAGATTTCGAGTATATGATATGCCTTGTTGGTCCTGCAATTGCCAAAAGACATACTAACTACAGAAATGCTATAAACGTAACAGAAAGTTGGCAATAACGTTAAGATTTCTGTCAACAGGCGATTCCTACCACAGCCTAATGTACCTTTCAAAAGTATCAAAGC